AATCCTTCTGGCCCGGCCCCCTTACTGATTGCCATGGGTGATGGGTGATCTACACACAAAACAGTCCCTATCTGAGTTGAACACAATGGATGCAAGAATCACGGTAGGCGGACTGTCACTGACAGTCATGCACAGTTCACCTCACAGCAGCCTCAGGCAAGGAGCAGTGCATGCACAGAAAGACTAATGCTCATATACATAACAATCAATGTGGATGAGGATCATTTCATGCTGATGGGCACCTTATGGAAACCTGTTATGAGAACAAAGCCATACCTTGCCATTGCTGACCCCCTACAATGCGAGCTGCCTGGCTGTCTCTGACGTCACTGCTTTTGGGTGCGGAGACATGTCGGGCACTAGCTGAGGTATCGCCACTGGCCCCGTTCACACCATAGCATTGCCTGAACACGTGTCGCGGTGACACACATTCGCGTGTGTTTGTTTCCCGCATTTGGCGTGTGTCCCCATTGATTTCAGTGGCCTCCTGAGCGCACACAAAACACGGGAAAGTATTACATGTAGCAAGATCTGAGACGTGTTCATCATTTCCTTCCCGCATGTACACCCAGCCACGTTTGGGGCGCCATTAACCAGTATTAGCATCGCAAGCGTGCTGCGCATTTGTTTTCTGCATTTGGCACACATTCGCGGAATGCTCAGGAGTGAATGGGGGCTTAGGGATGAGCTCACGCTCAGAGGGATCCTCCAAACACGGAAGGAAGCTTTTTCCGCTGCCACCCAATCAGATGCGGCCGGGGAATTCCCTGACTACAGCTGCACACAAGCAAAGGGGCGGGATGAAGCAAAACCTTGACCTTATATGGCCACAGGGCTATATTTGGGCAACGACAATGACCAAATATGGCCATATAAGGTCACTGACGTCAGCACAAGTATCTATAGAAGATATGTTGTCCGCACACCATTCTGCTTCGGAGCCTCACAGGACCCCTTGGCCAGACACTTTGCCTGAAGAATGGGTCCAGAGAGGCTCCGAAACGTTGCAATCACATGTCATGCTAAAGGAATACAAATAAAAAGGAGATTCCGAAGCAGAATGCTGTGCGGGCAACCTTGGCACTCCAGCTGTGGTGAAACTACAAGTCCCATGAAGCACTGCAAGACTCTGACAGGCGCAGGCATGACTCTTGGAAGCAGAAGCATGAGGAGGTGGGTAGTTTGATCACAGCTGGAGTGCCGAGGTTGCATTCTAGATCGTACATTGTGGCGCCATCCACCAGTTGTTCCAGCGCCACTTGGGGTACATCGGTACGGTGTGTGAAGGGGATTTACAAAGCACAAGTATCCCGCCCCTTTGTTTATATGCAGCTGATTGGGTGGGGGGCCCCTGTAGCTTCTGGGTTTGGACTGGGTTCTCTTCATACCTGAGCTCATCCCTAATGTCTAATAATAAATGAACTTTTAATAAATGTATTAATAAAACTTTGATATTCGTTTTAAATAACGTTGCCGTCCCATAATTGTTCCCACAACTACATTCTTTTGCTGTAGTGTGTTGATCTGTCTCTCATAAAAGTGATCAGGCCGCAGGATAGCCAAGCAATGAGCATTTTCTGCAGCAGCCTGCACATTTCCTTTAAGTCCTCCTTGTTCTAATAACACTCCATCCCGCCCAGATCCTCTAATGACAACACACAGCAGCAGGAAACCCCTCCCACTGGTCCCTGCGTATCAGACACCAGGCTCCGCCCTGTCACATGGTCTAAGCGTCACACACAACACCCTTCACTTTCAGTGATGACACAGCCAGTTCTCTTTTTATTGTTTTTTTCCAGCAGCAACAAAAACAAATAGAACAATAAGCATACAAACCCCTCAGATGATATTGGTGACATTGTATCCAGAGCAGAGGGACCTCTCCTATGAACATTACAAGGAGGACAGCTGACACAACCCAGTGCCATGGTCTGCCACAGGGGTCTCCGATTATAAAAGGCTGGTCACCTTTTCTACTGAGAGAAGGAAATAGCTGATGAAAGGCAGAGATCTTCCAGCACGCTGGTGCTTGTTATCACTCTGGAGGTAACAGCTACACCGGCCTGATACCTGCCAGTGATGGAATGAGGAGGAGGGAGCAGGCTGAGCACCAGACACATGAATGCCATCAGCACCTCATACAATCCTTTCCTCAGACACTTTCTGTCATTGTGCCATCTGCCTACCGCTCTCGTCATACACCCAACACTGCAAACAGACTGAGACCAACTGATTTATATGCAGCCGGAGCATTGCCCGCAGGAGCCAATCAGACTCCTGATTCCATCTGAAACCCGAGCTCTGATTGGTTCCTTTGTACAGATGTGTTTGTTTACATTTAGCTCTGCTTATATTAATACACAAAATTAACCCATATGAGCCCAGAGTGATGACCCTTCCCCCGTACTAGTGATATATAGTGAGCAGTCAGTCCCGGGGTCTAATGACCCGCTGACTTGTCCTGGCATTAGTCATTACAGTGAGTACACACTACGGTAGTCCTGATCACAATACGCTGTCCCCTGTACCGGTGATCACAGGCCCCAGCCATAGT